CATTTGTATCTTATACTGATCTTAGTTGGAATTTCTGTCACAAAAGGAAGCTTTCAGAGAATTTTTGCTTGCTCAAGGAAATATCTAGTCCATGCAGGGCAGGGCGCCTCAAGGGTAAAAGGTTGGGAAACTCTGAAACAAAGATTTTCTAAACCTTATAAATTTTCAAAGCTACATGAGAAACTAGATGCGTCACATGGGTTGTTCCTATAGGTCTGTTGGTTACTATAAAAACTGAGCAGCATCAACCCAGAAAACTGAGAGTTGGTTAAAAGGATACAGAAGACGACATGAAAGCCGTTGCAACATTTTTGATTGTGCTGAATTTATTCTCTGCCTGTTATGGTAGGTTCTCTTCATAAAATATATTTTTTGTTTAATTTGTTTAATCTGTTAAGGAACAAAAACAGCATGAAATTAATTATTTCAATGTTTGTCTCTCCCCAGGCTGGACCTGCAGAGCCGCCCCTCAGATGTTTCCTGCTGCACAGATCGATGCCGGTCAGGGAAAAGTTGTGATGACAGACAGAAAATCCAACGTCTTCTACCTGAGTGGATCAACATGGGTTGCAATTGGCACAGTTGACCTCAAGCACGTCTCAGTCGGATCTGCTGGAATCTGGGGAGTTGACTCCTCTGACAAAGTCTACAAATTTGTGGCAGGAGATTTCCTTCGCGTTTATGGTGACTATAATGTTTCCAGACTAAAATATTCTTTTTGATTTAAACTTTTTGGTGATGTAATTGTTTTGTGTCTTCAGGTCTGGACTTAAAGCAGGCGGATGCTGGAGGTCTGGGTCATGTAGTGGGAGTAAGCAATGATGACACCATCCACTGCCTGAAAAGTGATGTTGCATCATCTTATAAGGCTGTTGCCACTGTGAGCTGGAATAATCTGCCAGGGTCTCTGATGTACTTCAGCTGCGGCCTGTATGGATGTTGGGGCATCAATTTCAACTTTCAGATATTTTTTACGGTAAATTCTTTTTTTCTTACCTTTTGACATAGATCTCTCAATAGAATGGGACTCCTCACCATGAGTTTTTATTTGTTTACAGAAAATTACACCAACCACCTGTGAATACAGCGGCTGGAAACTTATAGACGGAGCTGCAAGCATGGTTGAAGTTGGGGCTGATGGAAACGTCTTTGTTGTAAACTCTGCGGGCAATCTCTTCCAAAGGTAAGATCTGTGTCTAATCTGAGATAGTTTTGAAAAACATTGTGCAGATTCTGTGTTTAATGCCTAAATATTAACTTCTATGATGTGAGCTAAATGTTCTTATGGTTACCGTTTCACTCAGTGTTTACTATCTGCAATTAATGCAGTCTACCTGCATTGTTCAAACTTCTGCCTCTAAACTTATAGGTTTTATAGGTCACCCAATGTTCTTCCCTCTTTTGGAAATATTTGTTGACAACAGATATTCCCATCCTCTTAGCGAAATGCACCACCTCCTCCTTTCCTTGACACCTAACCTTCCCATCACTTCTTCATCTCCTCTGTTTTCTTCATCGACATGTCCTTTCAGATCTGCTCAGATGACCACTCTCTCCTCCCTGGAAATACTCACTTCCTTTAGATGTTTCTTCAATTTCTCTTTCTCCTCTAATTGTGGAGCATAACCACTGGTAACATTCACCATCAGACCTTCTACTTCTGACC